CAGACTGAAAACAGCCCAAGGGGGATTACTGGACGTCCCTGGATCTTACACTAGATCTCCCTGGAACAAATCTGCATGCCTAGCCAGCCATGCCATGACATAAAAGCAATTCTGCTGCTCTTGGCTTGATTTTGGTATTCATTTCCTGCCAGTTGTTCACTTTTGATGTACCTCAAAAAAAAAAGTGTACCTTCACTTTTTGTTTTGATGCAGAGAACAAGCAATCCTGGTAAAATGGAATATAGCCTAAAAGTCAATTCAGTTTTAATACAATCACTCCAAATTTCCTCTTCTGTTTTGGGAAGCATACAGGCAGCCTTTAATACGTTTTTTCTACCACCCTTTGCTACCACCCTGCCTGGCAGCAGCCAGCACTCGACTCCTGTCGAATGCAGGAGACTGTGTGATTCAATGCAGTGTCAGTATCAAACACGGTACTAAAAAATTATCTCTCTCTCAACAGCAGGCAAAAAAGCTTAAAAAAAAATAATAAGCTGAATTCTGTTCATTAGATGGCCCCCAACGGCTCTGGTTTCTCCATATACACAGAGCTATGATGTGTCACAAAAAGGTGATCTAAGTGGCACTGTAGAGCCAGAGCCTAGAAGCTTAGCACATGTAAAGCTTGGCTGGAAGCCGCTTTTAGCAGCCTTTGATTCGCAAGTAAGGAGGCCTTGAGATACGTCCAAAGACAAACATTTACCCTTTCCTAGGTTTCTCTTTGGGGGTAGCTTTAGACAAAGACAGACACAAATGCCAATAAAAACAATATAAAACAATTGAATAATATATTTTTTTTTGCAGATTTTCAACTTCTTCATATTGAAAGGAAAAAGAGACATCAATAACATTTTGTAATTACTCAGTCTGAAATTGTTCATTCTATCTCCATGTATAAAATCACCATGAAACACATCTGTGCTGCACAAGAATAGTACCTGAAGAGCCCAGCAGTATTCCCTGAGACTGGAGCCTGGTTTTCCTGCACAGCTTTCTTATGTTGTTAGACACGTCCTTGACCAGTATCTTCTGACTTGGTTACAGTTTTCCTTCCCTGTATGCAATCACTGCTCAAAAACTCTGGCCAGTGACATTAAGCACTTTACAGAGATTGCTTGGAAAGCAATTTTTGGAAGCTTCATCCAATTCTTCTGAGAAATTCTGAATCTAATACTTAAAAAAACCCTGAACTCAGTTCTTTCAAAATCTATTGGTTTTAATCAAACTTAAACAAATTCTTTGTAAATGCTCTCATTCTGTTTATCTCCTACCACCATAAAAGTAGCAACTCCAGAGTCACGTGTTCTAGATGTACTCTTAATGTGCCAGTGTCATTGCTGATATCCTGCTTCTTTGCAAAATTTCATCTGTAATTTGTTCACATGTATCTTTTTCCTTCTGTTCAAACTGGATTGGGAGATACATTTCTACTACACTCAGATGATTCCCACTGAAATACAGTGTGATGAAAAATTTCAGAGCTGTGTTCTTATTTCCTGCAGTATCTAAAATTTCTGCTGTAATGCGAAGGTACCAAATCACTTAAAAAAAAAATAAATTATCTTTTACAGAAGAGGTTAAAATCTCTCCTATTCAGCACTGTTCTAATGCATGTCTGGTTTCCAGGCCCTCTTAGTGAAATTTGCAGCTCTGTTTTGTGCAGATACCCAAGAAACTTCTCTTGGAGGCATCATAAAAATGCTAAAGAGATACAGTTTATTTCGTTCCACTCATCAGGTACTGCCTGAACTAGGAAGAACACAAAAACATCCTTTTCCAAATGACACAGTCATCCTGTTCCTAGCTTGCTACTGACTCTATCCAAAATGAAACCATTAACTTCTAATTTATTTATTCAGTCAAGCCTGGAGTTAATCTGCTTAGAAAGAAAAAAAAAAGACAAATAAACAAAACCTGTATTTTCCAAGACAAAGAATTCAGCATGCAGCACTATTTCAAACAATCCAGACTACATATTACAGAAATACTAGCGAGTTATGACTGACTTTTTTTGAGTATGTCAGAAATGCACTCAGTAAGACCATATGCCCAGTAAACTAAGCACCCTTTGCAGATTAATGGATTTTAAGGCTAAAAGTGATTATTAGATCCATTAGTTCACTTTCTGCTATCTTTCCAACCAGAGATTTTCCAACAATTATTTCTGCATCTTTTATAAGATACAGGAGGAGCAAATAACTTCTATATGGTTAGAGCAAATCTCAGTTAAACTTCAAAACCTAGAATATCTGCCACTTTCCTTGGCACTTTTTCAAATATGTAATTGCCAATACCACTAGGAAGTTGAGCTCCATTTCTAATTTGAATGTGTCTGGATGCTCCCAGCTATGGTGGGTCCTTCTCTACTAAAGCGCTTTTAAGACACTGTATTTTCTCTCTGTAAGGAGGCTTCTTCACTACAATCAAGTCACCTCTTGATCAGCCTTTTTGAAAAACAAATTACACTTTTTTTCAGGGTTATTTTTCAATGAGATTGCTGCCTGGATCTTGTTTATAGTGCAGTGTCGCAAACATAACACAGGTCATAGAGGACTGCAGAGGAGTAGTAGAAATAAATGACTGGGGAGGACTTCTTAAACTGGTTGTGCTGCCAAGGAATTCTCCATGGAACAGGGATCTAGATCACCCACTGTGTGCCATGCTTCCAGCCTTCCCATAGCATTTACTGCTCTTCACAACTGAGGCAAGCTCACCTATTACAAACGTGGATGCCTACAAGAGAATAGTCTCATATAGTTCTTGAGTTCTGACAACCTCCACGCATTTGTTGAGATGTGTCAGATAGCTAGATCCGAACCCAAATAACATGCCTTTTATTAATATAGTGTACTGCAATATTGATATTTATATCAGAGGCATGTGTCATTAAGGATGTATAGTACGCATCCAACTTTAAAAAAAATAAATAAATCACTTTCCTGAATGCTTAAGTAATTATCCACTACTGTCTACAATCATAACACCCTGTGTAACTTTTAAAAATTTGGGTCAGTATGTCCATCTTTTACATGATGGCAGTATCAGGAAGGACAAACAGTGTGCATTGGCCAAATGCAGCAGATTACTGGGAACGAGACGGAAACTGCAATGGAAAGGTGCAGATTCCTGCACAGGCCATCCAGAAGCAGAAGGAAGAAATGCCCAGGTTTCTCTTATAAAATTTCTACCTTTCCATTTCCCAACAGAAAACGTTTGCCTGCAGAAGTTAGCATAGTCAACACTTGCACTAATGTGCTGACACTTCTTTAGGAAATTTGCCATCAGCAAAATATTCACGACTTGGTGATCTTTACGTGACTTAATTTATTGCCAGCGAACACACACGTTTAATTACTGATTTGGGTATTTGAAAAAAATACTATAAATAATTAAACATTTAGGGAACCATCCTTCCTCCCCCTTCTCCAGGATCAGCTTCCTACTCTTGAGTCCCTTGTTTCCACCTTGCTTTAATTTTATTCCTCCCAACTACTTCAGTGAGGCAATGGGCTGTGCAGGAGGTTGGGGTCATCTGCGGAAGGGTTTCTTTCTGCTGCTCCTTGCTTATCCTTTGCTTTCCTCCATTGCTCCTTTCTTGTTTTCTTCTGTTCCAGTGCAGGTCACCCGTGGGCTGCAGTCCCCTGGAGCGTCCCTGCCCCAGCAGGAGCTGCCCAAGGGTTGCAGTCCCTCAGGGTATGCACATCTGTTATGTTTTAACATTTACAACTGGATATTCTCCTGTTGTTTTCCTGATTACAAATTCCCCTAAGAAAGCATAAAGGTTACACTGAAGGCCTTAAAAACACTGAAATAATTATGTGGAAGTGTTAATATATTTACCCGTCCTTGGCTATACATTTCTTGTCAAAATAGATAAATAAATAAATAGCTATTTCCATAGTGCTACTAGGAGCATATCCCAAATAATATCTGAGGATTTGATTTAAGGGTTTTGTTAATATGCTGTGTATTTAAAACCAGAAGACTATGGACCACCACTTAGACTAAAAAAAACCCCAAAACCCCCCAAAAAACCAAAAAAACCTGAATATGATAAAACAACATTAAACACATCCTTTGTGAAGAAGAGAAGGAAATATATTGTACTCCACTGTCCGCTATTAGGTAAGCAATGAATTAAACCTGTGCATTTCAAGACATGCAAAAATCATGTCTCAGTTCTCTACTAAGTAAGTGACAGAATCACATAGAACCACACAAAAAGGCAGGAACCTCAGGAGGTCTCTCGACCAACCTCCTGCTGGGAGCAGGGTGAGTTGTGAGGCCAGACCAGGTTACCTGAGGCTTTATCCAGCTGGGTCTTTAAAAACTCCAAGACATTTTTCTTCAGGATTGTAGAAGACTTCTAACTATACATAAAGTTATGAAACACATTAAGTGCAGCACAAAAATTCAATTACATCAGTTAGATCATACGTAAACATCTGTCTGTACTTTATTGCTAATTTACTATGCAAATACAGAAACCTTGTCACTATAAAAATATGCTAGACTGAAGGAACCTCTCAACAAGCCTTGCCATTTTGTTAAGTAATTAAAGTTCATATTGGGATTCTTTAATGAAATAGAGCACCATCAACTGGTAAAATGCTCTTATATTACTATTCATGCTTATACCAGAAAGCACCATGTGGAATTAAACTGTAATTGATTCTTGAAAGAACACTCGCTCAATATCATTACATTGCCATTGGGCGTGTAGCACTGTTTCATGGAAGCAAAGCTCAAAAACTACAGCAGTAACTGGTGACAAATAAGCTATCCTATGTTCTTGCCCTCTACAGTTTATGAGCTACTGCATTTCTAGAATAAAAATAAAAACAGCAGGGTAAGAATATACCACAAATGGATTCAGAAATCTTTGCAAGAGGAAATTATGATCTCCGAATAATGAGGTTTAAAAAAAAAGAACAAAGCTAGTTTAGGTAAAAAGAGAAAAATTAAAATATATACATAGGAAGAAAAATGTGTATACTTACTTTTGGCAATGCATATTTTGGCAACTTCATCTGTACAAAGCCATTGCGACGGTAAGACACATAATACTTGGTTCGATTTGCTGATGTTGTCTATACAAAGGAAACAGAAATAGTTCATGTTAAATCTAAAGAGTCTGCGATGGAAGACTATTTTTTTTAACCTGCAACTGAAATACACAGCTATTACTTCTATTACATGTTATTAATTTGCAGCGTACTCCTAAAAGAATACATAAAAAATTGTGACAAAATAGACTCCAAGAAGATTCAAACTCTTATGCTCCCCCCTTCTTTAGGAAGAAAAAAAAAGTTATTTACTTCCCTCTTTTGCCATTCCAGCTGTCATGGGTGATACCCGAGACTTCAGCATCTCAGTGTCCCCAGTCCTTATTGATATCTTGATACTTACAGGCCTCCCACATTTCTGCCCTTTTGTAGAAACCGAGGCTGCAGCACCCTCCCAGTAAGAGGTAGGGAAGAGGTACACTGGCCATGAACACCAGGTACCTCAAGGGCAAGCAGTACTCCAGCAGCGCTATTCAAAGCACACCAATAAAAGCTAAATAAATTATGTTAACATTATGTAAAGCATTAGCTATATTTGGCTAATATTTTCTATACAGGATAAAACATTTCCCAGTCCAAGATGCTGACGTGCTGCATGGAGGATAATGATGCAATTCTGAATCCATTAGTTGGTCAGTTTGAAAGTCAGAGATACCTCCTGAAGACACAATTATATGCTTAAATACAGAGGTTAAACATGTATTTCAACTGCTGGCATGTGTGGAACAGATTAGGTTTTATGTAAAATACTTGGGGGCTTATGAAAATTTTCACCAAAGAAAGCCAACAGAAATGTACATTGAAAACAGTTGTATGACTATTACCCATTACCCCCTTTCTCCTCTTTGTAATAGCAGATACACTGGTCATTTTAAGACTTTTACCTTATTCACAAAAATAGCAATGCAAATATTGTTCCAAACTACCAAAAGGAAGATTCTAAAAAATCATTGACGAAAATACTCAACCAACGGCCTCCTTTAGTTTTTCTAGACAGAAATGGAACGCCAAAATCTGTGCTAGTCTATAAACTGGCACATTTCAAACTAAGCCTGTTGAGCTCCATCAGATTAGATTAGCAAAGGTTTTAGCTTTTTGTAAATAATATTTCGTTGGGGTTTTTCTTCACGGCCCCCCCCCCAAGATCAGCTAGGTAATGGCTATTCAGTCATTTTCACTAAGTTTATAAAGGGTGGCTGCTTTGCAGGAGTGGACCGATCAAAAGACAAAATGGAATAAGTGAAATGAAATGTGCAAAATTTAGAACAGAAGCACAAACAGACTCCTCTTCTTTCTTTGACTTAGAAAATACATTTAAAATCCTACCCTAATCTCACTGGTTTTCTCCTCAAATTTTGTGTTTAAAAAGGGAACCTGATTTGGAAAACAGCCTGTCCTGAAGCATGCAAACTTGACTTGGCTTGGTAAAAATAGAGTTGATGCATGACAGCAAGTCCACCTGACTGAATATTTTAAAGATTTCAAAGTATTTAACATTATAATTATTCTCCCTCTTTTTTTAAACGAATTCAATTTTTTGTGGTAGAATGTGATGCCTGTTAGGAATGTGATTTCTGAAATTATGGATTAAACCAAAAACCTCACCATTTATTTAATTAGTGTTAAATAGCAGTCTTATCCATCTTTTCATAGCCTTCTTGTTCATTATGCATTTATTTTATGTCACTCATTTTAAATGACTGAAGATGATGCCAGGCAGCAGAGAATCTGAGTCGAAGCAGCTACTCGTGGCAAGCCTCACTGACATTAACGGCTGGTCTGTGCTTAAAAACAGTGTTGAAAATTTAATCCTCCTACTAAAATCACCTCTGAAACTGCCTGACTGTCAGTGCAAACTGGAAAAGAAATGAGTATTAGGAAGTTCGTGATCTTCGTGGATATAGACGTACTAAAGAAACGGGGTTGAGATCTTCCTCTAAGGTGGTAAAAGTCTGAGATTTGGGCCAGGATTAGCAGTGGAGACCTGCAACGCTCTGACTCACAGCTGCGGGGATGTGAGCAATGCCAGGGGCAATGAGACTCATCTGTCCCATTTTCTTTCTAACAGATACTGCTGTGATATTTAGAGGAGTCCCTGGTCTGATTCTAACTTATATAGCAATATTCTAACTTACAGAGCAATATTTTAGTCTAGTGATAAAAGAATTTCCACATTTCAAAACTATGCTGTTTCTCAGATGTGTAGCTGCTGTGCAGTTTCACTGGAAGAGTTGAGTAGTGTCCTGCATCACACCTCAGGGGTGGCTGCACTTCAGATGTGACTATAGGATCCCAGAATTATCTTCTATCCTCCAGTAACATAGATAGGGCTAACTAGTAAAACAATTTAGCAATAAGAGAGACGTATATTATATACTGTGAGTTACTGCAGGTAAGTCTGAAAGGAAAAGACTAGAGATGTTTCCCCTTCATGTGGAATACATGCACATCTCATCTACTGGCACTGACATATCTCAAATCTCCAGAGACTACGTTACCAATGGCACCATTTTGCTAGTAGTGACCGTCCATTACTTTATGTGTACATTTCCAAGTTGCACTTCCATTTCACGTCTGTCAATGCCTGGCATGAGACAGAATAACAACAGCTCGAGAAGCATTTATACAAGACGTCCAGCAAAACAGAACACTCAAAGAGGAAGCAGCCTGTGTTTTGCTGAGCACAGCAGTCTGGAAGTTCACGGGGTGAGAAGCACTTCTCACCCTCTACACGCTGTGAAATGGATTTTAGAGTGTGCCTTGGGGGGAGCCATAGGTAATACTACCCTTGAGTAAAACAGGTGCCATGAGTGCTAGACCTGAGCTGAAAAATTCCTATTTTAATTCAAAAATACTTTTCCAAATCCATTTTACTGTTTCTTTGTGGTGCTAAATGTTCTAAGCCATGTGGGCCTTTGAAACCACTATGGTAAACAAAAGGAGAACAGATCTTTTGTCTCATCACCAATTTACACATCCTTTAGGAAGAAACAGCCACAATGGGGGAAAGCTGCAAAGAAGCCAATCTGATGTACACCGAGGCAGTGGTGGGGAGAGCTATCCATCACCACATTGCTTTCCTGCCAGAGTCGATAAACAAGCCTTTGCAACAAGCAAATCATATCAAAGTAAGGGAAAAATGACAGCCAACCACTGAGGAAAGTACAAGCAACTTTCCCAGGAAAATCTTAAAAAACAGGTAAGACATAACCTTTCTTTCAGAAGTTTGTAACTCTGACAGATTCAAATCACCACCAGTCCCAAGCATACAAAATGATGTGAGTTTGCCTAAGTTTGCCTGAGCTGTATGTGGTACCACAAGACTGATGGAGTCCCAGCCCAGGTTTCTGCACGCAGGTCTTACAGTTTGGGAATGAAATAATCCCAATGCAATTTGGACCACCAGAAGTTGCTCCAAGCTTCCTGGTTATGGCTGTTTCACCCTTTCGCTTCCTAAGTGCACCTGTACAAATTCTTTTCCAGGAAAACCTCTTCATGAGAGCTGCTACTCTGTCAGTGGCTTTTCTTAGATGCTTTTCTCAGGTAACCTTTTTGCACTATGGCAGTACTGGAAAGGACCCAGAAGAGGTTGTAAGCATAAAAATGGTTGCGTTTTGCTTAGCATACAAGACATTTACATTTATAAAAAGTAACTTTGAACCACACAATCTATTTGAAAGTCTCCACCTCGTTAAAGCTAGGTCAGTGACAAATGAAGATCAACCAAATAAACAGGCAACTGGTTGCACAAATTAAAGATGCTTTTTTTTTTTTTTTTTTTGACTGATAAAGGAATGCTTCATTCCATGTAAAAATTCATAAATCACCATGCATACTCTGGAACAGGTTTCTCCATGCTCCTAAATCACAGTGTTACTGCACTGTTTAAAATTTTATTTTTGAATTTGAAAATGGAGTGTCTCTCCAGAAAGTGGCAGTACCTGAAGAAATATGTAGTCATCCTGCACAGTGAGGGAATCCCGATCAGTGCCACCAGCAAACTGGACTGTCATTGTCTTATCAGAACAATTTTGAATCTGGCAAGTGATGTAACGATAACCTGAGGGAAGAGAGACAGAAACATATGACAGGGCTACCAAGGGAAAAAGAAGCAAGCAGTATGAAATGTTGTTCATGTAATGCCAGTCAAGTTAGTTGTAAAATTATTATACTAAACCCTCATACAAGAGTTTTTCAATCTCCAACGTACTGAGAATATATTAACTGCTTACAGTTCAGATCATTCCCGGGAGGCAGCCTGTTATTATCCAAATTTTGCTGGTCCAGAGAGATTAAGGGTTAGATGAATGAGACATTCATGGGTGGGGATAATAGAAGGAGCCTCTTTTCTCACTTAACCTATGCACAGAGACGAATTATTCACTTGGAGAAACAGCAGCCTGACACAACATAACTGAAATCAATAGATCAACCCCAGTATAAAATTGTGATGAGCAAGAAGAGAATCAGACTCCGTTTGATAGCATGCAGAATTTTAAAGGCTCTTTTCAAACCTCTGTAGGAAAGTTAAGACACGCTATTAACACACTATTTTAACTGCTCCTGTTGGGGCAGGACTTACATATTCAGAGTAAATATCTTGCTGAAAAAGCCTGGACTGATTTGTGTCTGTAGAAGCCATGGTCTCTCTCTTGCTCTCCAGTTAGCAACGGGCAAGGAGTATCCTGTCTGCCTGGGCTGTTAGAACAGCATTACTGCATCTTTGATGCAATCTGCTCTTATCAGAGAGAGCAGAGCCAATAACCATATCTCACACCAGCTGTGGCCCAAACACCTTCTCCTAGACTCAAGACCTTGTACACCTCACCCTTTGTCACAAGCATCTGAGCACAAAGTACTTGAGTGACCTTCCCAAGTGCAGCGAGAAAAATGTTATATACACAATCCTGTGTTCAGATCACCAATTCTCCCCACGCTCCAGATACAGCATGAAAGAGCAAACAATGCACCCCCATGCAGGTGCTTCATTACTTTTGCAGTCTGATAGGAAATGCATTCCACACTTCATGACTTTCAATTAGAAAAGGCCAAACCAGTATACTAGATACAAATATTTGTTTTAAAATCTGGATCTGTTTAAGAAGCAGCTAGAGTCAATCCAAATTCTCCTGCTGTCCAAATCATCACAACAAGGTTATTTGAGCAAGCACAGAAATGGGCCATTGAAAAGTCTTGCAGCTATTCATAATTCACATGACAAGCACTACAGTTCTTCCTCAGATAGGTAGCACAAAGATGCTGTTTCCACTAAAATCAATGGTGATGCTTGTACTGACCACAAGTGCACAAAGTTAGTTAGTTGAGAACCCAGTCAGGAGATATTTCATGAGAGTTTTTCTTTTTCTGCTGTTTCTGTTAAATAATAAATAAAAAAAAAATAAATTCTTTCCATCCAGCTCCTGAAGAATCATCTTACATTGTCTCTAAACAGCGCTGCTGATGGGGCTGTGTAGGGGTCACCAAGTCTCAGAAATCTCACTGCTGAAAGATTTAGAAAATTTGTCATCCAGAATTTAACATGGTAACTTTGATTTTTTTAATAGGGCTGAAATGAAGAAAAGCTACTGGATCAGGGAAAGTCAAACTGTGCATTCTTTACAACTACTTTTTAGGACTGCACAGGAACTTAGATGATCTGAGTCAAGGAATTAAATTATCTTTCAAGAGCACAATTGGTAACAAGAAACTATACAAGCTTTTGGAATCATGGTGACTCTTTAGTACAGCACAGCCTGACTGCTAATCTGCTTTTTCATTTATTTTCCCTTTGAAGTCTCAAAGTATACTGGATACTGTAACATGAGGAAATTCTGGGAGATGGTGGTTAGTGCAGTAGGACTGACATATGCAACGATTCACTTTAACAGACACTTACCCAACACTAACACTGCATTGCCAGTTTTATTTGCAAATCAGGAAAAAATGTTCAATGTTTAACTGCCAGAATAAATTGCACTATTAATGGAACGTTTTCAACAGAGCATAGCATCTTGACGTCAATTCATCTTAGAGTGGAAAACAAGTAAATTTTAAATTATACTATATTTTTATATAACAGGACAGCTTTGCTGACTACAGATAAACAGAGAAAGAATCTGACTTGCACAATTTCTCTTCTGACTAGTTTTAAAAACAATCCCAAAAGTACTCTCTAAAACAAAGAGAAATGACTATACACTGGGGTATCAATTGATAACATTTTCATTTGCATACCTCCACTGGGGTCCTGGATTTCCATATGAACTAAATCAGGGTCTCCATCAACTCCAGCAACGGCCCTGAGAACATAATATAATCAAGTTATGCAGAGCCAGCTACAGAATAATCATTATGTGGATGGAAGAAAAGAGAGGACTTCATACTAACAAGCTTTAACATTCTAGCTGGGAAATTGAAATAAACCCCATTTATAATGTACTATTACTAACATCTAGATGGAAACTATTTTTTCTGTACTTGACATTATGTTTTTCTTTAATTTCTTTAGAATTTCTTTTACTAAAATATGCATACAAATAGGAACAATTGGAGAAAAGAACAGAAATAGGTATGAAATTGGAAACAAAACTTCATAATCATAAATTGATAAATATGCACACACATAGATATGCGCACACTCACATGCACTGGCGAGCATTAGAACATCTTTTTACAATTACCTCTGACATTTGAGACTACAAGGCAGATTTAGTGCTAAAAAAGACTGAGATTCCATTCTTATTAGAAATATCTTAAACTTGACACACAGCTTCCATAATGAATTGATACATCCTTGGTTAGTATATTCAGGAGAAGAGTAGATTCGGCTTTGACAAAGGAAGAAAGTGAAGTATAATTTTGAGAAGAATATCCTGAGAAGGAAATTCAGCCAGAATTGATCAAGGTGCAGTTTAACATTGAAAAGGTGTAATGGGAACGCTGGCTGATTTTCTCTTAATATCTCCCATGTCAAAGCACCCAGCTAAAAGATGAGTTTTCTACCCTCAGGGCTTCCATCCCAACCTGGGAACAACAGCCCCAGCTGCGCTTTTTTCTGGCCCCTTCCATTGTCATTAGTCAGGCAGATTCTGCAGAGAAAGCTTTGAGCTGACAGTCATGCTGTCACTAAGCGAAGCAGAATCCCTCCCCACTCCCACAGCTACATCGCACTTCACAAGGCTCTTTACTGGCACGGTACTAGTCCATCGAGTCAGCAGATGTGGGCTGAAGACACGCAAAGGACATACATTGAGTGATAAAGTGCAGCTGGATGCAGATATTTAAAAAGCGCATTAAACTACTTAAGAGAAAATGATCATTTTGATACAATTATTAATAACAAAATGCAATAAAACTATACTTTGGATTGAAATTACATCACTGTTTAATGGTTTTAATAGCATTGATTTATGAGGAGCGGTTAAAACTCAGACTCAGTAATTGGTGGCTCCTTGGGAACGCAGGCCAGGGAGAAGAGACTGGATGATTTCCACTGCTGCATAACAACCAGAAATAATCACATATGATGTTTTTCCCTAATAAGATAAATGATCAGTCTGAAGAAGGAAGGGGAGGGGGAGAAATGAGCCCCCGCCAAGCCATGAGATGCAAAGGAAACTTCTAGTGGGAATTTTTTAGTAAATGAATGGAAAAATCTTCCATTTACTAAGAAATTGGTCTCAGAAACACAAACTATTCTAGCATTTTGGAGGCAACGCATTAAGTCAGAGAACATGTTACATTCATTGAGGTCTAATAAGAATATATCTGAGCAGAGGGAAGGGATCTGTAAACTTTTTTGCTGTGTGCAATATATCTATTTTTCTAGATATTCAGAACACACCAAATCAAACCTGCTGTTGACTCTGCAGTGAGGTTCTTGAAGGAAGAAAATTATGTTTGCTGAATTTTTTTTTTCTGGACTTCACAAAGCTGAATCACAAACTAAACTAACAAAAACTTTAGGGTTAATATTTTCCGAGGCTCAGCCTGACATGTTGATTGGCATCAATAATGCAAAGATAGTTTTGGGGTACTTTTGAAACAACCTCTTATATTTATAATTTATCACACACAATTTCATAAGCACAGTTTGAGATATTTGTCAACATCTTTACCTTTTTATATTTCTTTCAACAGCTCAGAGGTGACAATGATCTCATGTCTACCGTGTTCCTTCTAATAGTGGCAGCTGGCACAAGTAGCTTCTGATCTCATTTCCAGTGTAATCTTTTAGTGCAAGAGGTTGTAACTGATCTGTTTTAATGAAGACTGCCTCAACACAGAAAATGAAAGTTTACAACTCAGACTACTTTTCTCCTTTAGATTTTTATTTAAGTGGATACGAAAAAATCACAAGGAAAGTTTCTTTAACCCAGCCAGGAAAAAGCAATACCTCTTTCCCCCTGAAGTTCAGACATTTCCCCTACTCCCCCTTTTAAAACTATCCTTCATTATCCAGGAGAACAGTTACTTTCAAAGTCTAAGTCCTCTCTTCCTGGATCTCTTCAGCTGGATCACCTAAGACAGTGTCCATTGACTGTAAAGGTGGTTTATGATGACAGCTCCTCACTGCAGTTTGACAAACATTCCTTCTCATTGCTCTACCAGATTAAGCCACCTCGTTCTGTGTCCCCAGTCTTGCCTCTCCTTCACCGCCTCAGACATCCCATTGAATTTGCCAGGTCCCAGTGCTGGGAATTGTCTAATTTAAAGGTATCCTACAAAGATGAAAGACACAAGGCTGTGATCATTAAGCTATACCCTTAGATCTCTGACTTTAGACAAGTCTAACAGGTGAGATCCACCCTTTAAGTGCAGAGTTTATCCATTCTGAAGGGCACAGATTAAGTAAGCAGAGTATTTAAAAAATGTGTTTTGTGTTTTTCATTACTCTAATTTTACAGATAAGCTATAACAGCAGAGACTCTATTTACTCAGTGAAGACGTTACACCCTCAAAGTCTACTTTAGAATGTCAACTACAGAGAAGAGTTTCCAAACTCCTTAGTCCTTTTACCCAGCTTTACAAGCACTTAGAAATAGTCCTTTCTTCTTTTATTAAAAAAAAGACCCCATCTATTACAGCTGCTAAGAAAACCTTCAAAACAGAGTGTAACTAATGTAGAGATCTTGAAGCTATATCCCTGAAGAATAAACTAATCTATTCATTTCAGCTGATTCCTCTGCCAACAGTACTTTAAGAACAATACTGTTCTTTCACTCGTGCTTAAATCATGAACCAAATAAAAAGTTGTATGATGCTACGCAGGCTAAACAGTCTAGGTCCCTCTGCCCATACAATATGGCTTTCCTAAAATGACAGGCAAGTAATGTACATACAGGAACACATACAGTAAATGATCCACTTAAAATGAAGGCTCGACTATACATTTTTTTCATACTGAGGGAGAAATGCAAGACCTTTTTTTTTTTTCATTTTCATTTACAAACTTACTACTACCACAACATCAATGCATTGTACCAGTGTGAGGACTGTGCCCACACATCCATTCACAAGCACAGTTTACTGTTCCTCAGCTGGCTTTACAATAGGAACTCTTCTGTCTTATAAAGCACAGACACAATAGACCCTGATAATCCGACAGCTTCTTCCTTTTTAGTTGACATTTCAGCATCAATTTTTAATTTTTTTCCCCAAACAGAACAAGCACTTTCCCAGGAACTATCTTTTTTTTCTCAATTTCAGAAAAAAAAGCAGGAGTTTTGGCTTGGTTTGGTTAGAATTCCCCCACTTTTCTTCTCACAATAGGTAGAATGAAAATGGTCATATCTCAGCAATCTGGGACCATTTCTCTATTTATTTGTTTTACTTGGGTAAAGCAGGGCTCACCACTGAATTCAGGGTTTTCTGGTTTGGGTTGTTTTAGCGCTTTACATTCAACCGTTAAAATTTCCAGTGAAATTCAGACTAACTTTAATTTTAGATCAGACTTTTCCTCTAGGAAAAGAAATATCTCTTGACCAAGTATATCATGCTGGATAAAGCAAGTGCAACACACCAGCACTTCAGATCACGTAACAGCGTGGTTACAACACTTCAGAATTTAAATAGCCCAACTTGATTGTAGGGGGGTGTAAATATAGGCAGCCTCAATATGCTGCTTCGCTTTCCTGTGAACCCAAGTTTCCATCATCTCCCCTGTGCTTGTCTGACACCATGTTGAGCCTCTTGGGAAAACCAGTCCTGCAGAATGTGATTTTAGAACTTTTTGGAGGGATTAGTTTCCTGTTTCTTAAGTCACCGGATCATGGTGGCAGTTGAGCACCAATCCTGTGGAAGAAAAGCAGCAAGATACCCCCTCTTTTGGTGGCACAGAGGTGAAATTGCCTCAGTCCCTTATATGATAATTATGATTCATGTTTTACTTCAAGCAGGAAACACACTGTTTCCAGTAGTCTGGGCTCATTTTGTAGGGGAGTAGTTGATTAGTGTTTGCAGACAAGTAGAGTCTGCTATGGACATATATCTTCTCTAACCCCAACGGATCCCTTTATTGTTAAATATTTGATGCAGTTCACTTGGGTGCATGTTAATGAAGAGACATCTTCAAACAAGACATCTGAAATCAAAACCAAATCAAGACAAACCTGCTCGCTGCTGTGCAGGAGACTCCAATCAAAGGCCATCTGAAAATTTGCTAGTCTCTTCAATCTGCCCTTCTCATAATCTCTGAATATGGAGTATATCCAAAAGGTAACAAATTCTCAGTTTATAGGGACTGATTTCTAGCAGTTGGCTTAAGGGCAGTGCCTTGCTTAGGAATCAAGTTAAAAGCATGCAAATTTTTTTACTGAGTAGCTTAAAATGCTATTGAATCTTTGCAACCTGGTTACTTAGGGAGACAAAACTATGATTTGATTCATACAAGCTAAAAATGTGTTTGATTGTGACTGAATTGTGTTTAAGGCCTTGCAAACTTTGCATCTGCTTTGAAAGATACACCTTCAATGATTCAGTCAATGCCCTAACAGCCAGTGTGTGCTGCTGCTTATTTACTCCCTATGCTTAAATGCTATTTAACAGAAACATTTTTCCTGCCACCTTTATCCAAACAGCATAGCTGGAGTGGTTCGTCTTTGCCATGGGTTGACCTTCACTGGCCATCAGGTGCCTAGCAAGCCGCTCTATCACTCCCCCTTCTTAACAGGACAGGAGGAGAAAATAAGATGAAAAGCTTGTGGGTCAAGATAAAAACAGGGAGATTGCTCACCAATTACCATCACAGGCAAAACCAGACTTTACTTGGGGAAGATTGATTTAATTTATGGCCAGTTAA